AAAAAAAAAAAAAAAAATTATAGTAATTTTATTAAAAATTACAATTACAACAATAAAAACTAATACAAACTAAAAAAAGAGAAAAAAATAGAAGGTGCAGCAAAGAAAGAGAGAAAAAATAGAAAAGAAATAGAAAAGAAAGAAAAAATAGAATATAGTAAAGAAAAAGAAAAGAAAGATATAAAGAAGTTATTTCCCTTCATCACAAGTATAAACAATTTTAGTAACTTATCACCTTCTCTTAAAATACAACAAATGATCGTTATTTCCCTTCATCACAAGTATAAACAATTTTAGTAACTTATCACCTTCTCTTAAAATACAACAAATGATCGTTATTTCCCTTCATCACAAGTATAAACAATTTTAGTAACTTATCACCTTCTCTTAAAATACAACAAATGATCTCTTCTTCCCATATCCCATCTCTTTTTTAAATCAACCTTTTGCTGTTTATTCCCCCCCCCTCCCCAATTTTATGTCCTTAAACTTGTATTTAAAACTTATTTTGCTAAGGATTGGAGGAAACTCACCCAGTGCTGTCAGACTTGTTGATCCAAAGGTTCCTAATAGCTGAAAAGCAGTTAACAAGCAATTTCCTAAAGTGATTAGAAAAGGAAGTATGAGAACCCAGTGTCCTTTCAAAGGCACTAACTGCGGTTTAACAAGGTGGCTATTCTTTTGTCTTCCAGAGCTCTAAACCTGCTGTAAATCACTGTCTTGTGGTCTCCTCATGAGGAGCAACTACCTGGAGCACTTGTGGGTGATCTCAAGTCCTCTCCTTGTCTGGAGAGGTTTTTCGCCATGGTTGTCGGCTCCACTTTTCACGGAGCCATCTTCAGCCCACCATTTCTTCCTCCAGTCTTGTTTTCCTGAAGTAGGTTTAGTTTTTGAATAAGCATTTTGTCAGTGGATGGACTGATGTTCCAATGCAGCTGACAACTGACCATAATGGAACTTTTGGTTTGTGGATTTTGGGCAAGCCATAGAGGTGTGAAGGTTGACAGTTATCAAGTTTTTTACTAAATTTTCAGGACCATTTTTCTTTATGAGCAATCTGACTTTTTTCTCAATTTTGTTGACTGGACTATTTTTGGCAGTGGCTTGAATTTTATACATATTTTATTATGTTGGTTGTATTGGCATCATATTCTTATATATCAAGAATTACTGCTGCTCTGTATTTGTAGAATACAGATTTGTAATATAAATAAATTGTCATATTTTTTCATGGGTTAGATTCAACTCAAGCCAACCTGAACTCAGCCAACCTATGAATTATTCTGATTCTGAACTCTAGATTCAAGCCCGAACTCAAAAACTCCTAACCCCCAAATGCAATATCAATTATGTTAAGGTATGGAATAAAATCAAGAAAGATTTACTAAGATGAGGAAAGTTGCAGTTATTACTGTTTGGAAGAATTTCTGTGACAAAAATGAATGTAGTACCCAGAATGATGTTTCTACATCAATACCTGTTTTGAAAAATGATGCACCTTTTAAGCAATGGCAAAAAGATATATCCAGATTTGTATGGAAGGGTAAGAAACCAAGGGTCAAATATAAAATTTTGCAAATATAAAAGATGCAAAAGACAGAGGAGGACTAACTATAAATTGTATTTTGCAGCTTGGTTTGGGTCTTGCTGAGAAATAAAATGTTAGAATTGGAAAAACTTAACCTAAGGTTTGGTTGGCATGGGTTTTTATGGTATGATAAAGTTAATGTAGATTATGTGAGAAGTGCCATATTGAGCGTATAGAAATGTGGAAAACATGAGGAAACATTTTATCATTCATGGTGGGCTTATGAAAAAAGCCAAGAAATTTTGGATACAAATTCACATGGTGATGCAAAACATTTTAAAGATAAATATTATGAAGAAGCCAGAACTTTTAAAATTAGAACTTATGGACAATGAATTAGAAAAGACTCATGGCAGAATTGATTTTGTATATGGTAACTACAGCAAGATTATTGTATGCACAACGATGGATGAATAATGAAATTCCCACAATGGAGGAATGGATTGTGAAAATGTCAGAATTTGCTGAGATGGCAAAGATGACCTGCTTAGTCAGAGTAAAAACACCAACGACTTTTCTGAAAGACTGTAAACCTTATATGGATTTTTTGCTGAAAGAAGAAATGATATGACAATTTATGGATTTGAACATTTAAAAAAATGTGGATTAAGTGTGGGGCTGAAGGGATTTGTATGACATCCAAAAGGGACGAGGGATTATAAAATAGTAATCTGTTGAAGAGAAGATTGGAAGTCATTATATTTTATAACTTTAGTTTATTTTCATATTTCTTCTTTTTCTTTCTTTTCTTTGTCTTTAGATTTGTCTTTTACTTTATGTAAAATAATAAATATAAATAATAAAAAAAATCTAATCAGGAGACAATTGGAATGGGTGTGTAGTTTTGTCTCACATCTACCCCATTGACATACAGGATCAGCTATCCCAGGTTTGAGGGCTTGACGCTCTCACTGTTGTAGGATACTTTTTGGTTGAGAAGCCAAAAGATGGGAACAGTTATGAAGCTGAGTTGTTACAAACTGTGGGGAAACTGAAGTGATAGGTGAGACCAGGATGCTAAAAATATTTAAATACTTGAAAATTTGAGCTTTGCTTTTAAACTAAAAATGATTTGAACCAATCTATGTCTGAATGGAACACAGGTAGTCCTCACTTATCTGCTGCCTCATTTAATGACCATTTGAAGTTACAATGGTATAAAAAAAAAAAAGCTTTGACCAATCCTTACATTTATGATGGTTGCAGCATCCCGTGGTTATGTGATCGCCATTTGTGTGCTTCACAACTGGTTTGTGATAAGCAGTTAATAGAGAAGGTAGAAGTACAATCGTAAGTCGTGGTCATGTGATATTTTGCTTAATGACTGAAGGGGGAAGTGAGGTCGTAAGCCTGTCACAGTCATGTTTTGCTTAGTGATTGCAATGCTTAGTGATGGAGTTGGTGGTCCCAATTGTGATCGCTAAGCGAGGACTACCTGCATAACTTCTTTGCGCGCTTGCCTCTTCTAGTGACCATGATGGATAATCAGCCTAATGGACTATATGATGAACATACAGTCCACAGGGTGACATAGGATAAAAGAGAATATTAGTCAGTGTTCAACACTTTTGCCTATAAAATAGGAACTCTGAGACCGCCATTTTATAGCTTGTAGTTTTGCTTGTTGGTTTACTGCTGCTAGTTCTCTATTTTTTTCACTTCGGGAAATCTTTCTTGGAAATTGGAGTTACAACTTTTGGTAATAATTTGATAATTTAGAGAGCCCCTTTGTTTAAATAAGTTGGGAAAATTGTGTCAATCAGTGATGTACAGTATATTGTTAATTAGTAAAAAAAATAGATCCTTCTACCTTCTGGAGTAGATTCAATGGAGCATGAAGGCTAGAAGATGAACCTAGATTTCATTCCATTATTAGATATAGCCAAGATGTCATCAATCCCCTGCCTTAATCTGCATCTAATTTCCATCAGTTTAAATATCACATTTTAAATATAGTTTGCAGCTCTCTGCAGGGTTCTGGTGGGGGTTCCATTGTTTTCAAACTTCTGATATCATAAAAATATTATCTTATGCATTGGGTAACTCTGAGACTAGCTTTATAATTTTTTCTAAGCCACAATATGGTTTTAGTTCAATATGTTGTAATGATTTAGCATGTTATGCAGCCAATTATGGTTTATTCAACAAATCATGATTTATTGATTTAATTGCTTAGCATGATTTATGAACCCAGTCTGAATGTTTAAAATATTTTAGCTTACATAATATGTTCAGTGTCAGTAATTTATATGCTGGAGGATTAAAGGAAGGTACAGTTGGTAGAGAAATGTAAGTTCCCAACTGGCAGAAAAAACAAGCAGCTTGACTACAAAGCAATTTAAAATCATATACATACATTAATATGATACAATCTTATTTGAGAGGATACTTTTCAATTTTACAGTGTAGAATTGGGGTGTTATTATTTCATGTCCCTTTTTCTTTAATGTTTAAATAATGTGTGACAAGCCTCTTAAAATGGATTTTCTAACATACTCTTCCCCCCCACAAACATTATTTTCCCCATTTGCATTTTTAATCATACTTAAACCAAACAATGCAGATCAATGAACTACAAACAGATCAGTGAATCACATGGGGTAATCTACATAGCATCCCACTCAAGTTGTGAATGCCATGTCAACATGTTTAAGAAACATGACCTTTTTAGATATAAACAGATCCATATATTAAGAAATGCAGCCCCCAACATCCAAGATTCTACCATTGAAATTAGGGAGCAAAATAGTTGATTTTCAGCAGCCTCTGCCTTCCAGAGACCTCTCTGAGATTTTGAAAAACATCAATTTTCATTGACGTATAGAAAATTTACAAAGGATTTGCAGAATTTTGATAATCTGTTACTTCTGTCTTGGACAAATACATACAAGAGAATGAAAATGCATTCAAAAAGGAAAAGGCTTGGAATCAAATCATTTATAGAAATTTATCTTTTGAAGATGAAGCAGTCTGCATCAAGCTTTAATTTTATATTAAAAGTGTAACTGAAATGTAACAGAAGACTCTACAGTAATTTTTAAAGCTAATGCTGTGCTGGTTTCTCAAAAAAGAAAAGTATTGCGGCTTGGAAGCCATACTGCCTTGCCTTTTAACAAAATCCAAATAGAAACTAAAGTATAACTGAGCTTCATTTCTGATAGGGAACGAATAACATGGGACTTTCCTTACTACTTTTAGTGATGTGGGAAGAGATTATGAGATGAACAGGAAAGGCTGTATGTAAACTGAGGAAAGGGTGTTGATCTATTTGTCCTCCAATTTGCATAAGGTTTTACATCAAATTTAGAGCAAACATGACTACAAAGAAAGAGACAACTGTCAATTACTCAATCACCTTAGGTGGCACTAAGAATTATACATCAAACATCTACTCGGTTTTAGATAGCATTTATTCTCCCATCTTGCTATGCCTACCAACATAATGAACATTCGAGCCCTAGAAGAAAATGGAAAACTGAATTAATGAAGCATCTGCTTTGTTTTGTTTTCTATTGATATATTACAATCACTCAATTGCTTTAAGAGTGCAATTGCCCTTGATCTTCCCTGTCAGCTTGTTGGATTTGCTCCTCTGTCAGGATCACAGCTTTGTATTTCTCATCAAAAAGTTTCTCGTTGGTTTCCGAGTGCAAGTCATTAAAAGAAATGGTCTTGAGATGCTCTGGCAGGTACTGAAACTCTTCATTGTTAATGTCTGAATCCTGCATTTTGGAGTGCAACACCCACCAGCGCCCCCAGAAGCCTACATCGAGGATCTGACTGGGAAAATCAGTCCACCGTGGCTTCAGGTACTTGCAGTGCGCTTGATAGAGGTCTGCTCCGGCATCATAAGGCGCCTCGTAGAGGAGGGAGAAAAACACGAGGCTCTGGACGCGCAACTGGCCCCGGTTTCGGAGCACCATCAACCGCTGGGTATGCCTTTCCGAGCTGCTGCTGCGCGTCCAGGGCGAGAGGAGGAGGAGGGTGCCCGAGGCTTCCAGGAGGCTGGAGTCGAAGGACGCTTCGCTGGGGTTGCGGAGGCTGCAGCCCACCGCTCCAGCCAGCAGCGAGAGGTACAGACCGGCTTTGCCCGGCCGCTGCCGGATGCCTTGGGCGACTTCTCGGCAGGCTTCCGCATAGTCGTGCAGGAGGCTCTTCCACCACGAGGCTGCGGAGGGAAAAAAGACCG